TTTTTTTTTTCATTTTTGTTCGTCGTTTAATTGGTAGCGCGCAGTATTATTATTTTTTACCACTAAGACTTCAGAAGCAAGATGAACTGTAGTAAAGGTCGTTCTCGAAACCGATTTTTTTCATGAGACAATTAAAGAGTACTCGCAGTCTCTGCAGTGTTTATTCCTGCATTAAGGCGGGAACATGGAGCACCACTGTCACGGAAGAAGACAAGGGCTATCAGCGGAGCGCAGCACATAAGCAGCAAACGAATTCGGTCACGTTCTGGTGTAAAGAGGCATAACGGAAAAGATGTATGTGGGGGGGTGGAGGAAGCCGAGTCGGTTGCGTGGCAAGTGAGATGGACGAAAGGCGCTGTCGATTGGTACCCGAAAAGAGCAGGGGGAAGACGGTCCGATGCGGTTGCTTGGAGTGCCCTGGGACTCGGCGGGGTGGATGTGTGCTGGCGGTCTGATGCTGTAGCTCAGGCTGACCTTGATTGCTGTGAACTTGCAGTTCTTCGGAGCAGGGCAGTGTGCGTGCAATGTCGGTGTTTTTGCGCGGAATGCAACCGAAGAATGGCTTCACAGCAATGACGATACGTTTTGTGGACCACTTCAGAGAGCTGGATATTGGCTGGACGCACAATAAGCTGATAAGCCAGGGTGTCGAGCAGTTCGTCGATGAGTTCCTCCCGCACATACGGTTTATTCTTTCTATGTTCAGCACAAAAATTGGCCCTCTCTCTGTTGCCCAAAATTTTTTCGCGCATCCCACCTTCCCCTCGTTAGCCTTTTTTGCATTCCTCTTTCTCCTCCTTAAATGCTGCACTTGTTTCAGCGCTCATTGCTCTTAGTCGATGATGAGGTACTTGAATTGCGGCCCAGTGATTCAGGCCGTACTGATAGTGCCATCACATAGCAGCGAAATCGGAAAATAAAAGCTGAAGCCTTGCCAGCTGCTTCTGAGTTGACAGTGATCGTCTGTTCACTTTCCACTTCAAAAAATGCGACACGTCAGATGCCTGGCAGAGGTTTTGATTAAAAAGAATGGGAGTATGGCAGTGCCATGAGATTTAGGAGATCTGTGATCACGTTATTTTCAGGGCGAACAATCCGCATATCAAAATAAGGCTACTCCGAACGCATGTTAATTGTGATCCGTTTGTTGTCGGAATGTAAGTTCGCACATTTGTTCATTGTTTAACGAAGAAAAATAAATGGCCAACGCACGGGCTGCCCGTGCGAAGATGCGTTTTTTGCAGAGTTCCCCGC